CAGCCTCCCGAGTAGCCGGAACTACAGGCGCGCGCTACCACGCCCGGCTGATTTTTTGATTTGTTGTGGAGACGAGGTCTCGCCAAGTTGCCCAGGCGGGTCTCGAGCCCGCGGGCTCAGGCAATCCACTCACCTCAGCCTCCCAAAGCGCAGGATTACAGGCTGAGCCACTGAGCCCAGCTCTAATCCCCATTTTTACATTTCTGTTTCACACAGGAGCCATGTATAGGAAGACACTCTAATCCCCATTTGACAGATGGAGAAAACCAGGCTTAGACAACAAAGGAGGCCCAGGCCAAGTCCCAGGCTGAGTGTTGTTGGCAGGGCCGGGAGGGGATACGAACTCTGGGGGTGGGGGAAGGTCAGCTGCTGGAGAAGGAAGGTGCCCAGGCAGGCTCTGACCTCTCCAGCACCCTGGGAGCGGCACTGGAGCCCCAGCCCTCTCCATCCTTCCCCTGTCCCAGGACCTGCTTGAGGCACCTTCTTCCCTAACCCTCACCCCAGGAGAGCATCCCTAGAGCATGCCAGGAGGAGAGCCAGGCCCCAGGAAGTGGCTGGGCCATCAGTAGTGTCAGGTGTGGAATGGAGCCCTGAGATGTAGTCCTGTGTAGCCCTGTGTTTCCATGGCATGACTTAGAGAGACTCTGCAGCAGACCTGGGTGTGTGCGTCCATTTGTGCGACAGTATGTCGGCGGCCATGAGCAACCCCTCCACCTTGACTGCGTGTATTGTGCGGTTTGGGTTGAAGTGAATGTCCACAGGGAGCTATGTCTGCAGAGGGTGGGGCTCTGTCTCCACAGCCCCCCCGGCAGGACTGGAGAGAAGGGTGGGGAGGGAAGGGCTGAGGAGCTGCAGAGGCTTCAAACTGGTCCAACGACTTTGGGAACCTGGGAGCAAGAACCCAGAGGGAGGGGAGAGGATAGGCGGACAGAGGAGCAGGCTGGAGGTCGGACAGGCAGCCGGATTCAGGTCTGTGGCATGAAGCTGCTGCCCAGCTGGAGATCGGTGCTACCCATGGGCCCTTCACGTAGGGCCTGGCCATGGACACAGCAACCCACAAGTAGGTGGGCCCGAGAGTGCTGGGGCTGGGGCAGCCCAGAGGGGAGCAGAGCGGGGACCTCAGGCCCAGCCTCCACCGGCTGAGGGTCCTGAGTCCCATCTCCCCCTCTGCCAACTGTTGGGCCCCAGGGCCAGGCTGGGCTGGGCCTGCTGGGAGGGGAGACAGGCTGGGCACAGGGCTGGCTTCCCCGGCTGTGTGACAGGCAGTCACACAGGGCCCAGTGCTTAGACAGACCCCACGCTTAGTCTAATGCTAATGTCTCGGAATTCTTTTTTTTTTTGAGACAGGGTCTCACTCTGTCACCCAGGTTGGAGTGCGGTAGCAGGATCCCAGCTCATCGCAGCCTCTACCTTCTGGGCTTAAGCAATCCTTCTGCCTCAGCCCACCGAGTGTCTGGGACTACAGGCACGCACCACGATGCCTGGCTAATTAAAAAAAAATTTTTTTGTAGAAATGAGGTCTTGCCATGTTGCCTAGGCTGGTCTCCAATTCCTGGGCTCAAGCAATCTTCCTGCCTCAGCCTCCCAAAATGCTGGAATTACAGGCGTGAGCTACTGCGCCCAACCAGAATTCTTTCTTTCTTTCTTTTTTTTTTTTTTTTTTG